CGTATTATAGGCTGCTGAAGCAGAATGGTAATTTTAAGCAAACTTACAAATGTATATGTCATTGAAAGGTATTACAATTGTACACACGCAGAGAACTGGTAAAGTAAGGATTTATATGTTATTCTGAATTTAACATTTCAGTGACTTGTCCGTTTATGCAAACTGAATACTATACTACGTGAATGCATGCTAAATTTTACACGTGTGTGAATGCATATTATAGCTCACAGGTATGTGCTGGTATACTGAGGTTTATAAATGTTGTAGCTCATACGTGTGTGACGAATCTTGGAGCATTTATACGTTTTTTTTTCTCTGCTTCATTTAGTCTGTATCAACATTAGTACAAGACTTCGTCTTACAATTGATGCGTAACTTTATTTGATCAGGAGCTCTTGTAAGTAACTATATTTTTATTCAATTGATGTGCACAAAGTTATGACACTAGATTAACTTTATAAAGTTACAAAGTTGTAGCTCTTTGAGAGCGCAAATAAGCAGTAACGTTTTTCTTCTTCTTTAATAGATTTCCAAATTAGTTTGAAATTATCGCTCAACTTGATGTTACAAACGAAATCTTGGTTGTGTTTTTCTTGTCTCCATTATATATATTCAATGACATTTTAAAGATACTCGTCGGAAATATAGTATCGAAGAGGGCAAATGTGGTGATGTAAGATATCACTATAATATCATACTTCTTAAACGAGGACTGAAAAAAAGTTATTTTAATAACTAGAAATATACAATGTGATGAAGGGCAAAAGAAAGAATCTCTCAAATATTCATGAAAATCAACAAACAAAAAACTGATTATTTAAACTTTCCATACTCGTAGAAAAACGTATATGCCGTAGGGATTGATTTGATTGTTAAACACTAAGCTATACCATTAATTATCTGTGGTCTACCGACCACGAACATCGAAACCGATTGTTTACGTCGTAAGCCTGCAGACTTGTTTGTTTGTTTGTAATTATGCACAAAGCTACACAAGGGCTATCTGTGCTCTGCCCACCACGGGTATCGAAACCCGGTTTCTAGCGTTGTAAGTCCGCAGACTGCCACTGGAGGGACTAAATGATATGTAAAAAAGGAAATAATTTCAATTAAATCTACAGCAATCCCTTAGATGCGAGAATGTGTATTTATATTACTGCGCAATCAATACTTACCACTTACTAAATACTTGTTTCAGCATATTTATGGAGTTTAAATGAAATGTTGTTCGGTTCGCTACCATTATCAATCATGATGAAAACAAACAATCGTATTTAATAAAGAAAAAAAAAAGATTATTGGAAAACATGAATACTCGTCATTGATTCACTGATTTCAGACAAACGAAATGCAATAACATTGGAGGCGCTATGCTTAAAAATCAGGGTCTACTTGGATAGATTCAGATTAATTGGGGTTCTTAACCCCAAGCGGTAATAAATACAGCACGGTTAAAACTAGGAATATCCGTGCTAGGTATTGGCCAAGTAAATGTATGGAGCTTGTAAGACAGGCCGAGCGAATGATGATCTACCCAACCAATATCTAGGACAATGCCAACAAGGCCACACGCTTTAATTAGGTTACCATTCCATATGCTGAGAAAACTATATATATATACATTGTTTGCTACATCATTGTTTCCCAACCTTTTCTAGCCAAAGGCACACTTTAATAAAAATGTTGTGTGGCATACCCCCAGCACCTTATGAAAACTCAGCTTAACACGCTACTTTTATTACAACGTGAAGTACAAAGTCATTAGAGCATAACGTCTCACGCCTATACACTGAAAGAGCAACAAGACAATACATTTTGGTTCCATCCACAAGTAATGTATATAAACGACACATTTCCATTATCGATTTATTTACTTTTCGCATGTGTGACACACCGGTTGAAAAACAATATGTTTCACTATACCTGTTTGTAATACAGGTAAAGCCCGTAGTTTATAAACGCAGAAAAATTATGTTGAATGTCACAAATCCTGAAGGTCTTGTATAATGTGTATATTGTTCTCAGTGTCTGGGAATGCAGTAACACCTCCCGCACCTTATCTCTCGCGCTTCTGCTGAAGTTTTATTTATTATGTCAATAAATGAAACTGCAACAATCTTTAAGTAAAATTATAAACGTCAGCATTTACATCGCGAATGAAGTGGATAAAAATCTAAACTTTTCACTTGAACGGTTTCTCTGCCCCACATAAAACTGGGTACAGCATGGATATCACATTGTTTAACTTTGTGCTTAAGAAGAAAAAATAAACAAACAAACAAACTGGTTTCTGCGTGCAGGTTAACGATTGCGAAGCCCACGTGTTTAACATAGAACTGAAAATCTCAGTTGTAACTACAAAAAAAAAAAGACCGGGTTATTTTTATCACATCAATGTTTTAGTGATTTGCTCCTTTTATTACCAAAAGTTCGATGAAAGTAAAAAAAAACACTAAAATAGAAACCTCAGACTTTGAAAGACTCGCTTTTAAAATTAGTACAAAATATATTATTCTCCCGTCTTTATGAACAGTTTCATAAGTATTTTATATCGAGAAATGAAACTGTAGCAGGCTTTCGGTAAGAAAACAAACATTTACTTTTAAGTCACGAATATAACACAAGGAACGAAATAGATAACAAACCAAACTTTTCACTTGTCTGGTTTCTGCGTGCAGGCTAACGATTTCGAAGCCCACGTGTTTGACACAGAACTGAAAATCTCGGTTACAGTTATTTAAAAAGTAGACCGGATTATTTTTGTCACACTAATATTCGGATGATTGTTCCTTCTTTGACCAACTAAAAGTTCGACAAGAGTCAAAGGAAAAACACTCAAAGGAAAAACTTCAAACTTTTGAAATTAGCCAAGAATATCCTTCTATGACCTTTATAAGCGGTCTCATAACTATTTAAACACATAAATAACTGAAGATGGACTAATTATGTTCCTCTACCGTCCAAATAAAGGAAACTGGATAAACAGCAAAGATAACACTTGCTTATTTATATTCACCTTAAAGTTTGCACGTGTACTACCTAACCAAAGTGATATATTTATATATATGCCTATTTATGATTACATTACGCGGTGAGTTATCTACGTAGCGTATTGTGAGTAATGAATTAGTTACTTAAGGAAACATGGAGAGGCAATAAATAACTCGAGGTTTTATGTAAAACAATTTAAATATATATTTTAACTATCCACTAATGACTGCGAATTCACTTATTTATTTTTATCTATACTTTTTGTTGTATTCTTTTTCCAATTAGCCACAATACGTTTTTTAATCAGGAATTTCTTAAAATATTATTAAGTTAAAATGCAATTTAGTTCATTTCTCCACTAGCTAATTAAATATTTAGAATTTTCGCGCAGATTTCTACACAAAGGTTATTTGTACGCATCCGACTCTAATTTTGAACTAATAGATTAGAGGGCAAACAGTTAGTCAAAAGCACCTACCACAAGCTCTTGGGCTACTCTATTCGAATAGTGAGAATTGATTGTTACTCTTATAACGCACTCATGGCTCGAAAGGGTGGAGTTCGATTTTGCGTAAACTGGACGCGTACCATAAACCATTGGATTCAGAGTTTGGACACATACCATGAATCGTCGGACTTGCAGTTTGTGCACGCTTACTACTAGGCCACGCTCGACCCTTTTCTACAAGCAAGTGCTTGTATATAAAATAAATTTCACAATATTAAACACTATTCATGTGTTTTATACAAATATATTACAATACTGATAAATTAGAAACTAATATTGCACCTGTACAAAATATATGTGTATTGCAATCAATATTTTGAGCGCTATGTCTTTGGTTACAGGTTTTTTTCTTTGTGCCTCATCGGAGTTTCGTCTGAGTAATTATATACAAAGTGGATATTCAAAAAAATAGTCGAAATGCTGGGGCTATAAAAAGCAAAACCATGCAAATAAAATCCTTAAAAAGACAGTTTGCACTGTCGAAAACTCTTTGAATAAACAAAAAACATTGTCATTGATCTATTTTTATCTCTAATAATGTAATTACAGTTAGCTGAGGATGTTATCTTAATACATTTTATAAATCTTCCCTTATTTGATCAAGTGTCCAGTGGATTTTTACATTTCTGCGAGAAATTTCTTCTTGCAAAAACTGCACCTCTCCGTGGTTCAGCATTAAGCTTAAGGTCTTATGACACTAAAATGCGGAGCTCGATTCCCGAAATGGATACAGCTCATTGTACAGCTTTGCACCGAACAAGAAATAAACAAACATAAAAACCTAAGGAATCCTATTTGTCATAGACCTCACAAGTTTTCCTACTAGTAAAAGTTTTACAATATCTGAACATGGTATTTATATTCAAAGTATATTGATATGTTTCAGTATTTAGTTTAAGATATATCTGAGAAAAGCGTGTAACAGTTGATTTTAATCACATGGGAACAGTATATAACAGATACTAAAGGAAAGCTAATAGCAAATCTCGGTTTCCAGTTAAGCAGGCTTGTCGAATGTTTTGCTGTTGATGTTTTGTTATATAGCACAAAGGGTACACAAAGGGTGCCATCGAAACCCAACTTTTAGCATTATAAACCCTTAGAGTTACCGCTGAGCCACCAGGAGCGATCCCTAGAATCATAAAATTATTCTAGAACGAAAATAAAAAGAAATATATATAATCACAGTAAATAACCCTCTTGGCTTCTTTCCAACTGAATAGCTTACACGTGTAACTAGTAGTTACAGTAGAATTATATAACTGTTTTACCTCTACATGCGTTAATTATTTTTATAAACAAATAACAGCATATTAAATACAAATCACGGAAAGTTTCGGAAAGGAAGATAAAGAGATAAGATACTAACATACACGAAAATGAAACACTGAATGAGTAATTATATCTCCACAACGAAGCTGAAAAATATTTCTTACACGATATTACGAAAGCAAAATCTTAAAATAATTAAAAGAGAAAATCACCAAAAATAGTAGCCTACCTCCACGCATCATGAAATTTAGTCAAGTCTGCTGACTCCTCGGTAGCATACCAATCATGTGTACCTCAGGCAGACATGCGTTCTTCTTTTAAAACGCAGACGTCAGTATCACGATAACCAATAAGAGTGAACTCACCTGTTATAGATCCTTTACTCAAGTGTACGTCATCCAGGTAACACCGCGGCACACCTCAGAATTATATTAGACTGCCGGAACAGACGTCAGGTACCATGGTTACAGTAAAAGATGCGTACGACATGAGGTTTTACGTATACCCTGTAAAGCTATGACGTCAAACGTCACAGAATAATTCGAATATGCGTTTGTGAGACTTTATGCTTGAGATACCTTTGTCACTGTCAAACTGAATAATTATTTTAATGTAATACTGCGATGTATATATATATATATTAAGAAAATTAGATACTTGTTTTAAAAGTAAATGAAAATTTATGATGTAAAAAATTTAAATAAGATGGAATTTATGAAAATTAAATGCTTTGTATATTTTTAGCT